ATATATATATATATATATATATATATATATATATATATATATATATATATATATATATATATATATAAAGAGACATAATCAAATAAGAACTAATTAGTTTGTGGTAATAGTAAGGTCCAATTTCAACCATAAATCAATAGATAAATTAGGATATTTATAATTTTGGTAATTTTGAATTAAAATTTTAATGCACGGACATTTTAGGTATTTTCTCTCATCTCTCATCTCTCCTCGTTCCCCGTCCCCCATCCTCTGGCCACCGTTCTCCGGTGATACCACAATGGTATCACCATGCATCTTATACGTGTATGGGTATCACACTGAGGTCGTTTGTGGTCGATAAGACACAGTGATATCATAATGCATCTTATATGTGTTTAGGTATCACATCTTGTCTTTTGTTTAACATTGTCAATATTTGTAGGTATCACCGAGGACGTTGGCCAGAGGACGGAGAGAGGAGAGAAAATACCTAAAATGTCATTGCATTAAAATTTTACTTCAAAATTACCAAAATTATAAATTTTCTAATTTATCTATTGATTTGTGATTGAGATTGGATCTCACGGTTACCACAAACTAGTCAGTTCTTCCTTGAATGAGCCCTACATAAAAAACCTATATGACGATCTATATAAAAAATATTTTAAAAAACTTGTTCATGCGTTAAAAAACTTTTCGATTTGATTGTAGTGACAACCTTCAAGAGGGTCAGGTTCAATGCTCATCAAATGTGAGAAGTGTGTGTGAGTATTTATCGTGTGTATGGTGTGTAAATATATATATATATATATATATATATATATATGTATGTGCGTGTATCTATATGTATGTATGTATGTAAGTGTGTAAAACGTATTTTAGGTATTACAGCTTACGGGTTTATATGAAAACTAAAGCAATAACGAACTTCTCATCGTTCAAGTTCTTCTCCGGTTCTCGGGATGTTTGGTAAATTGGTAATGTGATGATTAAATTTTTCGATACGGTCGACATTTTATGGTTTAAAAGCGATTAGTGATGTACTTCTTTTTTATACATGTATATTATATGGGGACTATAATTGTAATATCGATATAGATGAAGGACCTGATTTGTAGATTGAGTACTTTATTCAGGTGTCAGATGAGCGGTCATCCTCCACCCCACGTAATATCTGAACCCAAAAACTCATCGGCTCCGGTTCTCCACCCAACCCATCATCTTGTCTGAAAAATCTCTCTTTTGTTTTTGTAAACAAAACAAAAATGACATCAGGATGTGTTCTCCTCTGCGAGATCATACTCTCGATCCTCTTACCACCTCTAGGCGTCTGCCTCCGTTACGGTTGTTGCACGGTAAGAAGTGATTTCATTTATGCACACAAACTGTTTGTAAAAACGTGTAACTGAGATCTATATGTTGTTGCAGGTAGAGTTCTTTATATGCTTGGTGTTGACTATTCTGGGTTATCTTCCTGGGATCATCTACGCCCTCTATGCCATCTTATGTGTGAATATAGATCGTAATGGTGATCGTTACGAGGCGCTTGCGTAAGAAGTACGGTTTTGTTCTTGGATCTATGTTCGTTCTTTGTATAATCTGTCTGTGATCTTGTTTGATGTACTTTTCCCTGAGTTTCATGTGTCTATTTCTGAATCTATTTAAAGTTCGATCTTGAAGTAGTTGCTTACCATAATCCACCAGTTTCAGTTTTTGAATCTATTTAAAGTTCTATGAACTTGGTGATGGCTGTTTTTTGTTGTTCTGGTGATTCAAAGTTGGTATTCCATATGAAATATTATTTGAGTAGATAATTGTGATATTTAGACCTAGATTGATTATATTTATATCATTACAAACATCCCATGAAAATGGCACTAAAGGATCTTTGATGGGAATTGCAATCTTTTCCTTTTCCTTTTTATGCAAAAAATTCCATGTTAAAATTGCATATTTGTCATGGTATCAAGTAAATTCAAGCTATTAACCTTAGGAGCCGTTTACTTAAATGCTTACCCGGTAAGCACTTACTAATAGGAGTCAACACTATAATTTATTTAGATGCATAAGATTTTATTTAGTACATCAAAGCACATCGAATGCAACAATTTACTAGGTAAGCGCTTACCTGGGTAAGAGTCGTCATCCTCACTTACCGGGTAAGACTCTCCATTCCTCTCATCGTTCTTACCCGGTAAGGTTCTTGGTCCTTCTCATGTTCAATAGATGAGGAAATTTATGCGTTAAGCACTTACCGAGTAAGTGTTTAGTAAACGGCCCCTTAGTCTACAAGATCAATGTGTTCTTTTATTTTTTACAAAGATACTTTAGTTATATGATAAGTAGACAAACAATGTGCTGACAAATTATCAAATGTAACAAGCTTTCATGGGAAGGAGAAGGTGCAACAAAACTTCCCAGTCGCGACCATATGCAGATACAGGACGATCATCCTTAGTGTGGTTTGTTTTCTTGTCAACTGTAAAATTCTTTTATGCAGGTGAATTAAGGTGATTTGGAGGTTTAGTTTGTGGCTTTTTAGGCTTCATGTTGGTGGAGGTTTATGAATTTGGTCAATAACTCCATGGAAAGTAAGAAAGCTTGAACTTTAGGATAAGACTAGCATAACCAAGGCCTGAACCAAAAGGACATGCAAGGAAAGGACTTATGCAGCCTAATAGCCTTATAGCAGATAGCTAAAGTATACAGAGTCTCTAGTTGCTGGAGGTTTTCTGGATTTTTTTTTTGATTAACCTGGATATCCAACCCGCTATGCGAGCCGACTAATCCCAGGGCGACCACCTGCTTTGCAGATAGCTCGGAGTCACTGTATTTGAACCTCCGTGGCTACAAGGGGATTTTTATTCCTCCTTGGATTTGAACCTGAGACCTCTTGGTACTTTTGACCGAGCCAAGCTCAAATCAAATTTAAACACATCTTAAACCACAAGAGTGGTGCCTGATTGGTTTTCTGGATTTAAATTCAAGCACCATAGATTGTAGGGTTAAAATCTAGAACAACCTTGTTTCTGCAAGAACGGTCAGAGCTCAAGTTGGAAATGATGCTAGATTTATGACCTCTGCTACAACACACAGCTAATATTGTTGTTTACCATTGTCAAATTTTTGTTGGCTATTATCTTCAGGGCCATGTGGGATTAGTCGCTGACCCGAACACCCATTTGTACCTAAAAGAAGTTCTAAAAGGAAATCCATGTGACATATGGCAATGTGAATAGTTCACTGGAAAATCTACATTTGATTGTTGAATAGGGTTTGTCCTTGCATTTTACCTCGGGTTCATTTGGTTTAATCGAGTTTGTTCTTACTTGTTAAATTCGGTATCGTTACATAATTTGAATCTTAAATGGTACATGTTATGTTGGTTGGTCAAGTGTCATTGTGTAATTTGAATTTGAATTTGAATTTGAATTTGAATTTGAATCAGGTACTTTGTTAATTGTTATGTCGGGTGTCGGTGGATGTAAAGCACGAACCTCATGAATCAATTCTAGTTGCATCGGTTCTTACCGTGTAGTGTTATATAGAATTCTTGGTAGTAGTAGTTATCGTGAATCCAATTATTCCAAAACTTGTTTCCTGTATGTGCGATTACTAATTCGTATTTTGAAGTTAAAGTAAACTTGTACTCGTTATATGTGGTAATATGTTCGATGACCGTGTAGTCGTGTACCGTAAAGTGGTACTTTTTGCAAAGGGTCACCACCCTCTGCAATGTCCTCATCGTACCAGTCTCATGGTCATAACGGGGAATGGTTTACCTGAAATTGGATTAAGATCACCTGCCCTAAAATATTACGTCTTATATATATCTATCAATCACATAAATACACGTTAATTGGTTAAGAGTCACTACTTTCACGTCACTTCTCAATTAACACAACCAGTCAATATTATTTTGATGATCGTGAATTTTACCCGGTAAGATATAGTAGGCATGGGAATGGGTCGGGGGCCCAATCTCTATCCATGTCTCGGTTTCAATCTCCGTTCCCGTCCCTGCTGGGGAATATGATCACATCCCTGTCCTCAACAAGGAATCGGGGATCTTTTTTCCTGTTTATATGAGATATTTTAAATCAAATGTGTTAAAAACCATACTTTATCCAAAATGGTCCATGTTTAAATCTCATATATTAAAAAAAATTGTTTCTATGGAGATTCATATATTCGTATGTGAATGAAATTACATCATACGTAATTGTTAGATCAAAAGTTTTCGGCTCTCCAATTGTTCTATCTAAAAATTGTAAGGTAAATAATACATATAAACACACGCACACACACACATATATATACATACACATACATACATATATTATATATATATATATATAATATATATATATACACACACATATATAGACTTGAGATCATGTGAGACCAATGGTTTTTCATGAGACCCGTAAGACCAATTATCAATCATTGGATTAGATCTATAATCTGACAATCTAAATATTCATAAACGCCACGAGATTTCTTAATAATTACCAAATTGCCACCGTGCAATTTAGACCGTTAGATCATTAACTTATAAAGTTGATCAATGAACATAAATTGGTCTTACGGGTCTCACGAAAAACCTTTGGTCTCACGTGAACCCAACCCTATGTATACATACACATATATAGAGGAGATTTATTTTACAAACCACATAATTTATACAAAATTTACATACTCATCATATACATCCATTTATTTGATCTACGACTAATATTGAGGGAAATATATTTTTGGTAAGGTTTTAATTAATTCACATGGATCATCCAAAAAGGTTCTCTTAAGGTTATAATAGTCACTTTAACCTACATGAAAAAATTTTAAGACTTTTATTACAGTAAATACTTTTCACTCATCATATCCACTATTACCGTAAATACAAGTATTCATGTATAAATTTTAAGACTTTTATTTCATGAATGAATTGGATGTTCTGTAGGTTAAACAAGATTGTATGGAGATTTGGGTTTTTGTATTTTATATTTTTGGTTTCATCAGTATTTTATATATTATGGTTTCATGATAGTTCCTGAATAATCTTGTTGTATTAATGAATTGGATTCAGCAGTGAAATTGGTTTCATTAATGAAACGGAAGATGATTCAGTTAATGAAACATTTTGAAAACTAGATCACATGATTTCATTAGTGAAACGGGTTTCATGGTTCCTAACCAAACCAAAATTAGTTTTCTTAATGAAACTAAATATGGTTCAGTCAATGGAACATTTTGAAAACTGAATAACATGATTTCATTAGTGAAATTGGTTTCATGTTTCCTAATCAAAATGACGAAACATAATGAAACTATTAGTTATGAATATGTTAATGGTGAAACATAATAAAACTGTGACATTGAACAGAATAAAACTGTTAATGCTGAATATGTTAATGATGAAATAGAATTACCTAAAAATGGTTTAAAATGGAAGGTTTTTGTGGATACAGGTTTTTGGATTTGTGGGTTATCAAAATGACAACCAAAAACAGAAGATGTCAATTGTTTGTTTATCTCATGGTCAAACCTTGTTAACTTTTCCCTCCAAGTCAAACCGTGATTTTGTAAACTCACCTTAAAGATGCAACAATTCATGGTAATTAACGGCTCGTGCAATGTAGCGAGACACATCTCGATTTTAATGTTCTATTTTATTATTTGTCTCAGTCGACATTATAATACGATTTTATGTGTTTTTAAGAAAACAATAATGATTTTATTTTTTAATAAAATATAAATTTGAAGATATCATAAAAATTTGAATATATATATATATATATATATATATATATCAATGTTAATATCAAATCAATTATTTAAAAGTTCTCATTTTTTATGTAATTTCTTTAATTTATTTTTTTTATTATAATTTAATTTAAGTTAGTAATTAAATAATTTAATTTTGGTTTAATAATATAACATTTTATAAAGATAATAATTAAGTATTCTGTTAGAACTCAATAATTATCCTAATTATATTTTAGATTTTTTATATTTAAAACGAAATATTTATCCTATATTTGATTATGTTTATCTCCAGTTAATTACACGAGTTCAAATATGGAGCTTTAATAAGTTGTACTTACGCACAATCTATTCATATTTTTGATTTTTAAGTAACATACATTAATAAACAGTACTTTGTGCATAAAAAATGGTTTTTAAGAGTTTTTGTTAAATGTTTTATAATATACTATAGATATAGGGAGTTATTTGGCTAGAGATTAGTGTATTTAGTGTCCTATAAACTTGTTACTCTAACTATGCTCTCTACGGTAATTTTTAGACTTGGGATCATGTGAGACCAATGGTTTTTTCGTGAGACCCGTAAGACCAATTCTCAACCCTTAAATTAGATCTACAATCTGAACATTCATAATCACAAAATTGCCACGAGACTTCTCAATAATCACAAAATTGTCACAAATGCAACTTTAGACCATTAGATCATTAGCTTATAAAGTTGATCAATGAACATAAATTGGTCTTACAAGTCTCTCGAAAAACCTTTGATCTCACGTAAACCCAACCAGTAATCGTTATGCATTACCTTTATAATTTGTTATGTACTTTAATAGATGTAATTTATCTTTAATATATATTGATAAAACAAATAACAATAAAATAATATCGATATTTTTAGGGAGTTTCCCACATACAAAAAATGTGAATTAAGGTAAGAAGTGAGTTGTGCAGAGTAACTGAAGTTGTGTTTTTTTTTTTGTTTTATCTGCCTAAAACAATTAAAACGTGGATGTAGTCCAAAAAAAATTAATACACACCAAGCAACGTGGCAACTACCACCCACAATGCAACGTCCATTTTAACAGATGGGACATGTCTCAACTGTCGTTATGGAGTGTACTGGCCCTGCTAATTAAACAAAAGTACCTACTAATTAAACAAAAGTAGTCGGAACACTCTCTATACCACATTACAAGAAGTAAAATAAAATTCAAACTACGTTGGCAACAAGCAGAAAATAAAAAAGCTTGTAAACCGTAAATGCAAAAAATACAATCTTAATCACAAGGGTGGTGTCTGATTGGTTTGAGCTTGGCTCCAAATGTCAAAAGTATCAGAAGGTTCTAGGTTTAAATCCAAGGAGGAATAAAAATCCCCTTGTGGCCACGGAGGTTCAAATTATGTGACTCCGTGCTATCTACAAAGCAGGTGGTCGTCTTGGGATTAGTCGGCTCGCATAGCGGGTTGGATATCCAGGTTAGTAAAAAAAATACAATCTTTCAGGCATCATCCATAATCTGTGCAACCTTCATAACTTGCCACAATTGAATCTTCGTCTTTTCACCTAACTTCTGCTTTTGAGATCTGGAATTGGATTTTCTTCCAATCCTGTATTTGATTTAAAGAAAAGTTAGGAATTGAAATATCAAAATTTCAATAAATCCCAACCGTAGATTCAGAAGTCCCATGGAGTAGTTGATATTTCATGTAGGGTTGTTTGTAATAACGATTTTAAAATATATTAAAAGTGTTCATTTTGTAATAGTCAATTAATAAAATGTAATTCATAATTTGATTTATAAATTATCCATAAAGAATTCCAAATCCAAATCCTACAAATCAAACCCATAAAAGATTCTAAATCCTCCAACTTTGATCCTTGTGGTTTGTCAAAAGTAACAATTTTCATCCCTGTAGTTCAAAATGACAAGATGCCATCGTGGTTTGCAAAAACATCCGAATTTGATCATTCCTTTTAACGGTCATTGAAATTACAAGATACCATCTTTGTCATTTTATCGATTTTTTTGTCTTTTATCTAATCAAAAACCATAGAGACCAAATCATAAATCGACTTCGATTGCGTAAAAATCGAAAAAAAAAATCAATAAAAGAACAAAAACACTCCTTATTTAACGGTCGCTAGAGGGAGATCAAATCCGAACGTTTTTTCAAACTGTAATGACCATCTTGTAATTTAAAAACTAGAAGAATGAAAACTATTATTTTCAACAAACCATAAGGACCAAATTGTAATTGAATTGGAAGGATGAATTTATAAATTATTTTAATAATACAATTAATGATGAATTGCTAAAATAAAATAGTTATGGAAGCATATGTAACTTTTTTAAATATTTTTATTTCTACAAAAGTCCTTATCAACTTGTTATAAGTTAGAAGAATTTAACTTTTTCAAAAACTCCTTATCACCGGTTTGGCACCGGTATAGCTGTTTATCCAAACACTCAAAAGTGCTTATTACCGTCGTCATACCGGAATAAGTCAATAAGTTGTTTTTATAAACACCCCTTTAATCTATTATTTTATTACATTGTTTAAGTGTTTCCAAAGCATATTGATCACCATGTGATACAAATACCTATCAATCCCATGTCGTTTTATGTGTATTTTTTATAAATTTCTAAAATATTATATTTGTCTTTCTAGATATATGGTCTATAATATTTAATAAGAAAAATAAACATTTAATATTATTGTTATTTATTTGTCGACATATTTCAATTTCAGCTTTCGTCCACTGATATATTATGTTATCACCTCGTTATTTAGATGATAGCACGAGTTATAGCTCTACGTTATCTTTTCAAAATAAAATGACAAAATGACGTGACTTACGTTATCTTTTCAAAATAAAATGACAAAATGACGTGACTAATCATATGAGGTAATATCAGTATACGATCGACATATGTTTTCGTTAAAACATACTTTCTTTATTTATCTGTTGTTTGTAATAAATAGTAAGAATATGACATATCGTAATTGATTTGTATATCATATTACCAAAGATAATACTGGAGCGAGGGTTCATGGAATTTGAGAATTCGTACTCGATCAAATTCATATGGTTTGATTAGAAAACAAACGTAAACGTAAAGCACCAAAGCTTTGCATAATGCATATATCAGTCTGATAAAATATAAATAGTCTCATATTTAGAGTTATTTACGTTATAAATACACTCATAATATAATTTTTGTAGGTTTCTTTCTTCTACAAAATAACCCTTAAGAGGTGAATCTTGTTTGGCAAAAAAAAAGTCTGTCTTTTAATGATTCTAAAAACTTCTGTATGATTTTGTATCCTGAGCCTCCTTTAACTATTAAGCGCCCTGATTTCATTGTAAACAATTACCAAACAATTATATTTCATTTTGCACTAAATCATGAAAGCTTCTTAATCATTCTGACCACTTAATCATTCTGTATCAAACCATTCAGCAATTGACAAACAAGTGTGACATATGTATATGTCTAGATATATACCTATTTTTGATACATGGATATGGTTTGGGGACCAAATGTGTAATATCTATATAGTCAAGGGACCTTATTTGTAGTTTATTATTTTATTCACGTGTCAGATGGGTGGTCGTCGTCCACTGCACATTTTTGCCGACAACTCCCTTAATATCTGAACCCAAAGACTCATCGGCTCCACGTCTCCTCACCTTTTCTGAAAAATCTCCTTCTTTTGCCAACCCAAAATGACATCAGGATGTCTTCTCCTATGCGAGATCATACTCTCGATCCTCCTACCACCTCTCGGCGTCTGCCTTCGTCACGGTTGCTGCACGGTAAGACGTGATTTCATTATGCACACAAACTGTTTGTAACAATGTCTAACTGAGATATAATTGATTTTGCAGGTGGAGGTCCTTATATGTTTGGTATTGACTATTCTGGGTTATCTTCCCGGGATCATTTACGCCCTCTATACCATCCTTTGTGTCAATCCAGATAGTGATGGTGACCGCTACGAGGCGCTTGCCTAAGAAGTATGGTTCTGTTCTTTGTATAATCTGTCTTTGATGTACTTTTCCCTAAACCTAAAGCTTCCGATTTCATGTGTTTGTTTCTGAATCTGTTTAAAGTTTGATCTTGAAGTAGTTGCTTGCATAATCCACCAGTTTCAGTTTTTGAATGTGTTAAAAGAGTATTTATGTATTTCAGTTCTTGCCAAATTATGAACTTGTTGATGGCTGTTTAGAAGTTCAGCTTCTTTTTCTTTTTGTTGTTGTGCTGATTCAAGATTGATATCCCATATGAAATTTTATGTGGGTGTTCACAAATCAGAGTAGATAATTGTTAACTGTGAATTAAGGTGATTTGGAGGTTAGTCTTGTGGCTTTTTTAGACTTTCTGTTGGTTGGAGAAATCTTTGTTGTTTGGGGGTTTATGAATTTGGTCAATATGTGAGTGAGGATCTCTCCATAGGGCCACTTGTTGGATGTTATCGTTAGGGATGGGTCGAGGTGCACGCAAACTGACCTGGACACCCACTGTTACCAAAAGAAGCAAGTCTTAGAAAGAAATCAATGTGACATATGGCAATGGCAATGGCAATGTGAATGTTGAATTGGGTTCGTCCTCGTATCTTACCCTGTGAGATTTACCTGGTTCGGTTGGTTTGGTTGAGTTCGTTGTTACATGTTTATGTTTGGTGTCGTTACATAATTCAGATCTGAACTAGTACATGTTATGTTATGTTATGTTGGTTGGAAGTTAAGCACATAAAGTTGTAATCATCGTATGTAGTCTTATATTCGTAGTCATAGTGGTGGAGGTAAATGACACCTCCCATAGGCATGTTTCATAATCTATTCTTGCCTCTTTTCAAGGGTCAGTTCCATGGAAAACCGTAAAACCAAATAAGTAATCATTCATCTGAATGGTATACACATGTGTATACAAATAATTTGTAAGCAATTTATGTGGTATTCACATGTGCATGACATGCATACGTGCATAAAAACGAAAAAACAGCTTCAGTTACTTATATGAACATGTGTATACCATCAAGATGAATCATTAACATGGTGTTACTCAAATTTTTATTTTTTTTGGAGGAGGTTTTCCCATGGACAGACCTAGTTAGGTGGTAATGGTGGCATGTGCCATCGTTTCATTCCTCGTCGTAATGTAAAAAAAATTAGGTTTGTGAAGGGTGCAACCGTATCGATTTGGTGTGTGTCACCATATATATTTTGAAACTACAATAAGAACACAAGGTTTTCTTGGTAGAGTTGGTTTGCAAGACTTTTCTTCTATCCCAGACCCAAATTCGAATCTTGTTGGTGTTATTTTCTTTGTATTTAGCTTTTAATTTCAAATTTATTATGTTTCTGAATTTTTTTTGCAATAAAAGACTTGAACACAATACCTCACATATGAAAAAAAAAACAATGAACTAACCAACAAATCAATTATGATGTTGTGAAAAATATCTCGATATTTGTTTCTTATAATCAAATGGTACCATCGTTTGTAAAAAATTCTGGATCTGTCTCTGGTTTTCCCCCAAACCTTCCTCTCATAGTCTATTATGCAAGAATGCTTACTTTTAAAAGGACCAATTAGATTGAAAATCTTGAATAACTAGTACTAATATCCAATGGATGAATCGATATCATCCAGTTATCCATTAGATCGGATCAGATGTTCAATGTTAATTGGATTAGTTCGGATGACAAAACCAATATTAATTATTGATTACCATCCATAAGAAGCACCACCCTCACTTAGGGGTCGTTTACCAAACGCTTATCTGGGTAAGAACTTATCGGCAAAATTCAATACTATCACTTACTTACTGAGTAATATTTTAGTCCACCATGGTAAGAGTCGTCGTTCTCACTTACCTGATAAGAGTCGTCATCCTCATTTACCAGATAAGACTTTAGGTCTTTGTCTTTGTTCTTACCAGGTAAGATTATTGGTTCTTCCCATATTTAGCAATAAGGTAATGTAACTTGATAAAAACTTACTAGATAAATGTTTGGTAAACGACCTCTTAGTCAGTTTCCTTATTGGGCTTACTAGCCATCAAAATTGCATAACTGGTAAGCATCTCTTAACTGATAAATGTTTACCCGTTTAGCGTCGGTAAACAATCCCTTATATTCCCTCCCTCTTTTTATCAATCAATCTATTATCTTAACATTACATACAGAATGATCAGATACCCGGTGAACATGGTCTCTGATCGTTACTTGATGGTTGTTAAGTAAAAACCTAATTTTTTATTAGCATTTAAATGTCGAAATAAATAAGCAACTTTAAAAATAAGTCATATCAATACGTTGTTACCAGTGAGTGATTATGATCTTACGTACGATTGTTACACATCAGTTGTTCAATGACAACCTAAATTTTGACAACATGTCATCTTGAAAAAATTAACCGTCTGAGGAGCTCCCACCGCATCGGTCCCACAGTCATCATGTGGGATGTAAATTAGCGTATGCATCCTATTGGTGAAGGAGCACAGCCCAGGCTTGAACCCGGGACGTCACTCATATGTATTACCTCCGCACCTCTACTGTTGGGACAAATCAATGACAACCAATTTCAACTCGTCATACAAAAGGTTTATCATTTCAATGGTCAACTCATCATACAAAAGATTTCTTTAATTGTCGGGCAGTTTGATGTTGAAACCCAAGAGCCATTTATGGGACCTAAGGGGCTGTTTGGCAATTGATAAATGTTTTGGTGCAGAATGATTGAATGGTCAGAATGATTGAGAGATTCTTATGATAGTGAAAAATGAAATGTTTGAGATTGCTTATTTAAAACAACTTATGTTTTTTTTTTGTTGTAAAAGTGCTTATTAACTTATATGGTATCAAACCGGAGTTAAATAAAACAAGGTTAAAATTGTAAATTGGTAATAAGCAGTTTTTCATAAGTCAGGAAGGATTAATTTATCAAAAAACAGCTTATTACTGGTTTGACACCAGTATAAGCAGTTTTTTTTTCTTATCCAAACACCAGAATACAGCTTATCACCGGTGCCAGACTGAAATAAGTTAAAAAACAGCTTTTATAAGCAATCCCAAATACCCCATAATTGTTTGGTAATTGTGTACATTGAAATTATGGCTCTTAATGGTTAAGGGAGATCCATGATACAAAATCATTTAGAGGATTTTAAAACCATTAAAAGATAGATTTTTTTTTTGTCTAACAAGATTCACTTCTTAACGATTCAAAAGTTACCTTTTAATGAAATTATTAAGAGGTAAACAAATAACCCCTAAGTTTTGATGGTCTAGCATTGTATGGTTAGTTGTAAAACCATATAACTAACCATGGTTAAAATAAAAATAAAAGTGAAGGTCAAAAGTGACATGTGTCTGGATACACATTGAGTTCGTCAACTGGTGATTCACATAAATGAGGAAAAGCCATTGAATTCAACCAACGAACCACCAATGGTCGATACCAACCACCAGGGAGAAGAAGAAGCCGACGACTCAGGACTCTACTCCGGCTGGGCCGAGTTGACTCACGAGTGCCTCCTCAACATCCTTACCCGTCTCACTTTTGAGGATCGATGGCGAGGTGCCATGCTTGTCTGCAAGTCATGGCTTCAGGCCTCCATGGATTCTTCTCTTCACTCCGTCTTCGACCTAGAATCGACTTTCCATTCGCGTCCCAGTGAATCAGTTCGCTGGTGGACTCCCCAATTCGAGAGGAAAGTCGATAACATGCTCCGATCTGTCGTCAATTGGAGCGATGGAGGTCTCACTCAGATTAGGGTTAGGCACTGCTCTGATCGATCGCTTTCTCTCGTTGCTCAAAGGTATGATTTTGTCAATCTAGGTTTCCTTTGAGATCTTCCCTAAATTATGATAACCTCGAAAGTTCTTCTTACGCTTTCACCTTAAGCTAGCCATCCAGAAAGGATGTGCGATTTTATTTCATAGTAAAAATATAGAATCTGAATACTACTAGAGATTAAGCCAGGGGTACATCGAATGGCTATAACGTGCTAGCTTACAGAAGTAAAAATAGAACCAGATTGGTTTTGTCTGAACGAATTCTCTGATATAGGAATAGAAAACCTGAATTTGAGTGATTCAATTTCTACAGGACTTCCAAACAACCATAGATTTTACAATAAACTACAAAATAGTATTCGGAGGCTTTGAGCAGATGTAGAATCAATCTTAACAGTCTGCTTTCTGTTCGATTAGAGGAAAGTAACTAGTTTGTTTTACATAAAGCTAAGAGGGAATGAATAATGCAGGTAACTCAAAATGTGCTTGGTAGTCACAAGCATACGTATTTCTTGAAGATGTTCTATAAAAGAATTGGGTGCAAAAGGTATTGATAAGCAGTTTGATGTTTTTGATGGCGAAAAGTGTCTTCTTTCTCAGGGAAGAAGAGTAAAAAAGGGTACTTTGAACTAGAAATGCATAAAAGCCTAGGAAAAGAAAAGAGAAGTTATTAAATATAACGTTTAGATTACTTGAGAACATGCTTATTTATAAATTATAACCAGAACTTAAACTTTTCTTGTATCAGCTGTTTTAAAATCTACGAAGACCATGTTTGTCCAAATTGTGTTCTCCTTACCTGTAAGTTCTAATTAGTCAGCCTCACTTGTTTTGATGGAATTGGAAGTTGTTTCATTGGGTTGCAATTTTGATTAATCAAACTGGGTGTTATATTTCATCTTTATGATTTTTGGCATATATTGGTGGTAAATTTGGGATCTTTTAGTTGATATAGCAAATAATAAATGGTAGTCGCAGGAAAGAACACACTATCTTTTCGTTCCATTGAAATCTACTGCTTTCCATTACTGTTACTAACTACTGAACTTTTCCTGAATAGATTGAATCTGTATAAATCATTGCGGAACAGATTATTTTGAGTAGCTCACACATTTGAGTGTTTGATTGTGTAAATGTATGCCACTATACACTCTCAAGTTGTCTTTACTAAGAGAAGCTTGTATTTGTAGGTAGTTAAGATGCCAAAAGACACTTGTACTCATATCATATTACCAAGTATATGCTGCATATTCATACATCATATGATAAATTCGTGTACAAAGGTCCATACAGCTTGTTCAGCATGTCAATCAGGGATACCATTTTTCAAAAGCAATCTGGAAATAGAGGGTAATATTTATTACTACAATCATGCTTAAAATATATATCTTTTTAAATAAGATTGGCCCTAATTAGGTGGTGATTTTAGTTCATATTTTGGTTTCAATAGGCTAGGCTCCAGTACAGTAAAAGGTGTACTTGAAATGCAAAGTTAACTTCTTATAAGCAACTAATAATAGGCATGCATTTGGTAGGAAAAATGGTGATTTACATGGTTTCAGTTTTGATCATACATGGGCCTATAAGTATAAGCACCACAAATTGGTTTCTTTCCTCCAAATAAGCCAACTTGTATGCTACTTGTAATGGCTGAAAGTCCCCCTCCCCCTACTAACATCATCATGCCAAATATTTTGTGCTGATAAATAAACATTTCAGTCTTTAAGCAATCACAAACGGGGTCTTGATCAGCATAGCTTTTAGAAGATCCAAGAAATCACCTATTAAAATGAACGAATATATATATATATATATATATATATGTATGTATATTATTAGCATGTTTGATACATTTTGTGTTTACTTACTGCATTCTGATGTTTTATAATTTATTTTGTACCACAATTGTCAGCAAAAACCTTCACATGCTTTTATATTTCCTCATATTCTCTGCAATTTTCATATCTTGTTACACTAGCTCATCTCCTCTCCGTTTAGCTTTCTCTTTATTTACTGATCACCTACGTTCAACAGGTGCCCTAATCTTGAAGTATTGTCGATCAAGAGCTGCCCAAATGTTACCGATGAATCCATGGTAAACCTAGCATCTGGGTGCCCTAAACTTAGGGAACTTGACATAAGCTATTGCTATGAAATATCTCATGAATCTCTAGTCATGTTGGGAAGAAAATGCACCAAAATCGTAACCCTGAAGCGTAACCTGATGAATTGGTTGGATCCTTCACAACACATAGGAATCGTACCCACTGACTACTTAAACGCATGCCCCCAAGATGGGGACTCCGAAGTTGCTGCAATTGGACACTTCATGCCTCAATTGCTTCACCTTGAGCTTCGATTCTCTAAGTTATCAGCCAAAGGCCTTGCTTTGGTTTCTGAAGGGTGTAAGAACCTCGAGTACTTGGATTTATCTGGTTGTGTTAACGTCACTAGCCGTGATATTGCAAATGCTGCATCGAATTTGACCAAATTGAAGAACATTAAGAAGCCGAACTTCTATATTCCCAGGTCAGTCTTCCATACTGAAAGATATGGCCATTGGAGGTTGTATGATGAGCGATTTCAAACAGATGCCTTCCGTATTTGATTTCACAACGAGAGGTAATGGAATGGATTTGTTGCCCGTATTCCGAAGAAGTTGCAAAATGTTCATCTCTTTGATTGTCTGCATATAGTTTGCATGCCTTTTTTTCTAATGAATTGTGTTGTGATATAGCTTGTTGTATCAAGAACATCATCCTCTTGTCTATGTACTTGGTATATCTAATGGATTGGTGGATTTTTACTTTCATTGTAAATAATAATCATATGAGTTGGTCTTTCTGCAAAAAAGGGTATGACGTCACACAGTTTGCAACTTTGCACCAGTCGAATTTCGGTGCAAAGCAAGCAACTTCGTACTTGCGTGAAGTCGTGTAGAAGAAGTTGTGCAAGATCCACAACAGTGACGGAATTAACGAGACTGGAAATAGAAGATATTGTTTGGTTTTTTATAATATAATGTCATGTGTCAATTCTCATATAAGCCATAATTTTCATCTCCGGAAAGTAAGAATTCCCATATATTCCTATTAGAGTATCTCCAACATTTCTCCATAACGAAGAAAATGGAGATTTTGAGTCAATATTTTGTTCCAACAGCTTCCTCAAAACTATCTCCGAAACGGCGAAAGTATGTGAGAGAAGGGTTTTTTCTCCAAATATGGAGAAAACCCAGAAAATGATTACTGAATAAAACCATCAATAAGAAACTTTGAAATTTTATTTTTGAAGAAAGAAATAAAATTTTAATATATGAATGAAATATTTTAATATTATAATCAATGTTGGATTCTCCAAAATGGAAGATTTGTTGGAGATGAATGTTAGGGGCTGTTTGGCAGTTGCTGAATGGTTTAGTGCAGAATAGTTAAGAGGTCAAAATGGTTAAGAGGGTCAGAATGATTAAGTACTGAATGAAATAATGTTGTTTGGTAATTGTTCTCTGAATAATAGTAAATTACCATTTTAACCCTTATCCAACAAAAACCCATCTCCCTTCGGCTTCCATTAATCCAACCCTAGAATCATCTAACCATCTCCCACGCCATCGACGACCCCAGCCAAGTGAAGGCAGAAGGTAAACGGCCAGCCAAGTGAAGAAGAAGGTGGCGACGGCGATGGTGAAGGCAGATGAGTAGCGAGGGGCTGTGCGACCGGCGACGAGAGGGTGGGGGAGGGGCTGTGCGACCGGCGACGAGAGGGTGGGGGAGGGTCTTTGAACGACGGTGGCGACGAACGACGGTGGGGACGAACGACGGTGGCGACGAACGACGGTGGGGACGAACGACGGTGGCGACGAACGACGGTGGGGACGAACGACGGTGGCGACGAACGACGGTGGGGACGAACGACGGTGGCGACGAACGACACTCTGGTTGGGGGAGAGGGCGATCGTATTCGTAAGGTGGGGGGAGGAGGCGACAGAGCGATGTGAGGAATGTTGGGGGAGAGGGCAAATATGGAAAAAGAAGAGTCCGAATGGTTTAGAGAGCCCCTGGATGCAAAATGGTTAAGAGGTAAAATGTAACCATTCAGAGTATTTTTTTTTTCCCAAACAGCCTTGACCTCTTAGCGATTAAGAGGTTGGCTCTTAATGGAACCATTAAGAGCCAAACAAACAGCCCCTTAATGTATTTATTTTTTGAGATTTTGACTTTTGGTTCTCTATTTTGAAATTTTTTTGGGGAATACGTTGGAGATGCTCCTAACCCCTTGGTAATATTAAAACTTAGGGGCCGTTTACTAAACGCTTACCCGGATAAGCGCTTACCAAGTAACATTAACTCACCGGATGAATATAGTAAGGACCAAAGATCTTACCCGGTAAGAGCGAGACAATGACCAAGAGCTTTATCCGGTAAGTGAGGGCGACGACTCTTACCAAGGTAAGTGCTTACCGGGTAAATTGTTGCATACGATGTTGTTTTGGTGGACTAAATTTTACCCGGTAAGTACATAATAGTATTAAAATTTACCGGTAAACACTTACCAAGTAAGTGTTTGATAAACGTCCCCTTAGTAAACCCTTAGTAAACTACATTTTTCATCTCTATGGTTTGTTAAAATGGTGACTTTCATCCTTGTGTTTTTGAAATAACAATATTCGTCCCTCTTGTTTGCAATCCAATATTATTGTTGTTGTTATGGTCCTAGATGCCTACTCTGAGAGTGTTTCACTATAAGCATAAGAAACGAAAACAACAATGAATTGTGAATTTCAAAGAAAAACATAATAATCATAAGAGTGGTGTCTGATTGGTTTGAGTTTGAGCTCCAAAGATCAAAAGTGTCTGGACGTCTCAAGTTCAAATCCAACGAGGAATAAAAATCCCCTTGTGGCATCGGGGGTTCAAACGCGGTGACTCTGGGCTACTCGTAAAGCGGGCCATCGTCCCGGAATTAGTCAGCCGCATAGCGGATTGTACATCCAGGTTAACAGAAAAAAGAAAAAAAAACATAATAATAAATTGTAAATCACATGAACGAAAACCTTAATATCGATATTACAGGAATGAAAAGAACAAATTTTCAACAAACCACAGAAATTAAAACATAGTTTGTACCAAGTTTTATTACTTTCTAGATTTATTTTTCCTTAGATTTTTTTCCTCAGGTTTTAGTACTTGTTACTTTTTGTACTTATTCGGTAAGCTTTTGGGAAAAGCTTTATGCAAACATGCACTTGTCAACTAAAAATCACGTTTCTTCTCAAGTTCTATCCAAGAAAAAGTCTTAAAAGAACCTTCTCAATCTATACAAACAGATTAATCCATACATGACTTGGTAGTTGTTTACTTGTGGCTTAATGAGCTTAATAGATAAATTGGCTTATTTGCACAGTTCTTTTAGGGTGCGTTTGGGACGTGGAACAGGGTGGGACAGGACATGACACACTTGTCACATGTTTGGCGTGTCTTTATCCGGAACAAAATGGAACTAAGTAGAACACACATGGGACATGTGCGTTCACCCTTACCCCTCTAGAACAAAATGGAACAAGGACATGTTTGACAAATATACCCCTCAGAAAACCTAATACGCATTTCACTCACCCTCCGTCTTCTTCACATCAATCCGTTGAACAACTGTCCTATCCTGTCATGTTTGCGTACCAAATGCACCATTAAGTTGTTTACTTATGACTTATTCGCATAGGAGGTGACTTAATTACGAACATAAAAAAACCTCAGTTGTCTAGATTCAGCCAACAAAATGACAACCCCTACCCCTTAGTTTAAACATGCCCTGAAAAACCAACTCTTGGTCCTTGTGTCCCTCTTACCGAATAAGATTCTTGATCTATATTCATTCGATACGGTAATGTGATTTGCTAAGCGCTTATCCGGGTAAACATTTGGTAAACGGTCCTTAAGATTGCTTAAACTTTTATCTCGAATAAACGATGGTGTTGAGTGTCAGGATATGAATGATGTAAAATTTGGGAACGATAAAAGTGATTTACCTTTTCTTTTACTTTAAATCTTCGTAGTCGGTTACATATAGCCTTTTGGGTTAAAATGATGTAGGTTACCAATTTCTAAGAACTCAATTGTTTATTTTCTTAGAAAAAATCGAAAGACTTAAAACATTCAAAATAAGAAAGTTTAATAATTTATTTATTAAAAATAAATTCGGAGACTTGTTAATTCATCATTCCCCAGATATTATCATATCCAGGAGTGTGTAAAAAGTCATCTGATTCAATTTTAACCAACCGATCTGTAATTGAATATTTAATTGTAATTGGACCGGATCGGATCAGATCCAAAATTTCAACATCCAAATTGGATTGATCGGTTCTTGAATGGCAGCTCATCATCCAATAAAACCGAATCGGTTCAATCCGATAACCATCCAATTACTATCAAATTATCATCCAACTACCATTCAGTTAATAGTTATATATAACTAATAAAAATTTACATATTGTTTTTAGTTGATGTTTATATGCATTATGTTTGTTTCATATGTATTCGGTTCACAATATGAAATTACATTTTACGTATATTCTTTATTTCAAAAACAGTCCAAAAAGATTTCACATTGTGAACTGAATACATATGAAACAAACATATTGTAAAACACATATATTTTAAATTGTAGTAAAAGAAAAAATCACATTAAATAAAACAGAATAACTACCTCTTTATTTTATTTTGCTCGTTACATGTACACTCATTTCTTACTCTCTAACTTATTTACTTACGATTGGGTCTAGAAGTCATACAAGCATTTTCGAAACAAAGACATGTGATCGGGGTCCAAGCACACCGCCAACGACACACTCCGATCGCCGCTTGGGCTCGGTATGATGTAAATCGTGCCCTCATAAAGGATGCTTGCGGGTCCCATGAAAATGGGCCGACCCCATCCAAAGTCTGATTCATATATCGGTAAGCGAGTCCAACTGTTTATGTTCAGATTTGGACTCGCAAAATAGGTAGGCCCTCGTACGAGGGCCGTCAGGTCTGGCTGCAATTCCAAGTAATCGATGGCCGATCTGAGATATTGATCGTCCATTTTAGCCAACTCGATATGGATTCTCCTAGCGGTGTCGGCCAATGACTCGGATTTAAACTCGCCTGATTTGGCAATCGGAGTGGCCGTGAAAACGACATTTCCTAGGTATCCTGGAGGGAGGGGAGGGTTCAATCTTGATCGTCCGTCTGTAGCCACGTACAGTTTGGTTGGTTGATCGTCTGATAGTCCACGCGCTTTGCATGCGCATCGCCATAGATGTGCGGCTAAGATCTCGTACGTGCTATGGTACACGCTTCCATCGCCCTTGGCCTTTGATTTAAGACCATTGATTTGATCCAATGTGAGTCGCAGCATGGTGGTCGAAGCAAGCTTAGGATGGGATGTGGAGTTTTGGTTTTGTGACGGGGCGATGAGCGATGGCGGGGAGTGGTATTCGAGGTGTTCGAACATGGCGGTCGGTGGGTCACGGGCACGGAGTAGGGAGCGGTCGACGAACGGTGGAATCGCAACCGACAATCCACGCGCTTTATCGGACCATGCATTGATGAAGTGGAGAGACGAGAGTCCATCGGATAACGTATGGTGCAGGCCACACCCGAGAGAAACCCCGCCACAGTTGAAGCGTGTAACCTAAGACCAAAACAAATTGCACCTTCACAAACATGCATTGATGACTTGTACATTCAATCATTAGTAAAAACTAAATACTTCGTATTATATTAGTTTTGTATAGTGCAAAATGAAATAGATTGTTCAGTAATTGTTTACAATGGAATAATAGTGCTGAATGATTAAGGGAGACCTATGATACAAAACCATTCAGAGGATTTTAGAATCATTAAGAGGCAAACTTTTTTTTTTACCAAACAAGATTCATCTCTTAACAATTCAGCGGTTGCCTTCTAATGGAACTATTAAGAGGTAAGCAAATAACCCCTTATATGTAAATGTTCAACTTTTTAAGAGTGTAGTATATTAAAACGGTATCGTAAGATTGTAGTATATTAGAACTCAATGATTATCCTAATTATATTTTAGATTTTTTATATTTAAAATAAGATATTTATCTTCTATTTTATTATGTTTATCTGCAGTTAGTTACACGAATTCAAACATAAAGTTTTAATAAATTATATATATGCATAATTTACTTGTAATATTTTTTAAATAATATACATCAATAAACAATACTTCAAAACAAAAAATGATTTTTAAGAATTTTTATCAAATACTTTATAATAATACAGATATAAAGTTTTCCTTTTGATAGTTCTTTCTCAATTCTTCGGTTAGGTACATGACGACAAGACTAAGGAAGGTGACAGAATTCTGCTGACACTGTCTTATCCAAACAAAGCCAATTCACTCTCACGTGACTGCTGGCAAATTATTTACAGCAAGACCCTTCTACTTTTTAATTACTAAAATTTATAGTCTTAAACTTTTGGATATTCCAACCAAACCCCCCAAATGTTGTATATTCCAAGTTGCTATTATATGACAAATATATGATGCTAAAAATGCTATAAATGGAACTTCAGGGACTTGTTTGGAAATAAAAAGAATTATTACATGGAGATATACCTGTGTGATACAGAGCGGATAGGAAGAGATTTGGTCGGAGTAATCCACCGTCGGCGCCAACTTCCGTAGCTCCGGTGACGGCGTAATCTCACCAAAATCATCAATGCTACAATCCGCTTCAGCTTCCACAAACAAAACACCCTCGCCGTTGCAGTTAATTTCAACTCTGCCATCTCCATCGTTACCCAGCCGTCCGGCCATCGGAAAAAACGAAACAAGAACGTCGGCAAGAGCCTTCTTCAGAACCCCAGAATCAAAGAAATTGGAAGACCCATTTGGTCTATAGAAATAAACGGTCAATATATGGATCCGACCCACAACCAAGTCAAGATTCGAGTTCCATAGCCGCTGGTTCGGTGTGGGTTTGGATGGTTTCACCATTAATGATTCCTTCACTGTTAGCTCCATCTTCTGTGCATCACGAGCTCCAATCGTCATCGGGATTTTTTAAGATTTTCCGACGACCCTTTTCTGAAATCGAGAAATGGAAGATGGGTTTGTGGTTAATTCTTGTGAAAAGCGAATAAAATAATTGAGGAATTTGGAGTGTGTTCACATGCAGAGAGAGAAAAGACGAGGCCTTTGGCAGGAGGAATAAAAGGTTTCCCAAAACGAGTGGTATCGGATTTGGTTTTGTTGGATGCAAGAGCATCGTTGACGAGAGGTTGTTATAAATAAGGATATTTTCTCGGAGTCTATCGTCTCAAAGGACACCGTTAAGTGTTTGTCGGAAAAATTTAATAATATTATTTATTTATCGGGTAAAATTTTAGTCCAACAAAACGGTATCGTATGCAACAATTTACCCTGTAAGCGTTTACCGTGATAAGAGTCTTCGTCCTCACTTACCTGATAAACTCTTGTTCTTTGTCTCGCTCTTACCGGATAAGATTCTTGGTTCTTACTATATTTATCCGGTGAGATGATGTGACTCAGTATTCACTTACCCGAATAAGTGTTTGATAAATGGCTCTTAAGAATTCATATATAAAACCAATTTTTGCAGGTTCCAAGTATACAATAACTCGAAGGATGTACTATTTTTCTAAACACTCGTTTTAACGGTGGTTCTTTTAAGAAATTATATTTTTTACTTATAAAAACCTTACATTAGAAATACTCTTAAATCACAGGATTTTTGGATAAAAACCGTTCTGTTATTACCTCAACGTTTGTATGAAATAACATCTAAGAGTAATATATTTTCTTTGACATTTTAATAGTTCTTTATATAATTAATGATGTTGAAAAAATATATAATACACATAAAAATAGTTTGAGTTTTTCAACAAAATGATCAAATATACCTGATATATTAATAAAATAGTCATTTTTTCATGTTTTACCAAAATAACTATATGGATCGTCCTCAGGGGACGATTTGATCATAAGGGGGCGATCCAACCTCTTTGACCCAAAAAAGTACATAAAAAATATTTTAAAATGATTTGTGGGGTCCACATGTATCTGATTTGAGGGATCAAATATCTGGTTTGTCTTAAATAGTGGGATCGCCCCTACCTACCCCAGGATCTTCTCACGGGGGCGATTTGACTTACACGTTTAACTGTTATTTTGTCTTCTAGTGAGGAAATCGATTTGACAATTAAATGATGTTTTCCAATAAATGGTGGACGATTTTGACTGTTATTATGACTATTTTAGTTGCGTTTTACTATATAAAATCAAACACTTTTATTTTCACAACCCGTAACCATTAAAGGCAATCTACCATCACAACTCTTTTAACACAATATGAAATCGCATCAAACTTTATAATTTTTACTAATTTTTACTAATTTTTAAACACATAAATGAACCAACGCCAACTTTTATATTTTCTTATAAAAAATAATTTTTTTATAACCACTAAATGTTAATATTTTCTAGAGAAAATCACCAAAATAACAAAAATACACCTGATATATTAACGAAAGAATAAGATTTTACCAAAATTGCGAAAATGTCCACACGGATTGCCCCCGGGGGAGATCGTTGACCATGGGGGGCGATCCCCCCTTTGTTTGACCGAAAAAGTGCAAAAAATAAATTCAAAAATCAATTTGGTGGTTCCCACATGCATCCATTTAGAGTACAAAACACTATGCGCCTTGTTTTGCGTGTATCTACCCCCGGGGGCGATCCACGTCACCCAATCGTCCCCGGGGGTGATTCAATTTTTTTTATTTTTTTCTTATCGATTAAGAGGTGTTTTTAATAAAAAGGAGACGATATTTAAACTGTTCTTTTTATATTTTTAGGACCAAATTTCATGGTTATAGTTTATAAAATAAAACCATGATAATTGTGGACACGTAAAAATTATTTTTATCTGATTTGGTTTGATTTAAGTAGTTTGACCGCTATTTCGTCTTTTAGTTTCTATAATTTGATGCCGATTTGACGATGTATTTTGTCTTATTACATAATGGTTTATATAAATAGGCGGTCGGGAGACCATAATCACCATCCCCACCGACATCCTCTCGCACCTCTAAAAAAAACCGAGCCTTCACCGACATCCATGATTATCCATCGATCACCGATCACCGACATCCACCGTTACGTAATAAAACAAAATAGATCATAAAATCGTCGTCAAATCGCTGTCAAATCATAGGCCACTAAATGACAAAATAACGGTCAAAGTACGTGGTTTAGGAAAATATGACATTTTTCAGATATAATATCCGATTTTTATCATCCAAATCAGGAACAAATAATTTTTTTCGTATCAACAATTATTAAAACATATTAACATTCAGTGGTTATAAAAAATATAAAAACATTCGTTAGTTCATTTATGCGTTTAAAAAAATTATTAAAAATTATAAAGTTTAACATGATTTTATATTGTGCTATGGGTTGTGATGATAAATTATATTTAATGGTGTTTTACTATTCATTTCACTAAATTTAATAACGTATAATTTGGTGTCTCCATCGAAGTAATTTAGCGTCAACTTTGATATCTGAAGTATGATACGGTGTCGGCATTAAAGATGATCAGATAAAGAAAGAAAAATGGTTAGGGTCATTTAACAACACAATAAGGTGGCGTTTGTTTTTTAAGAGGTGTTGAAGTCTGAAGTCTGAATTCACTTCTGATTTTTAAGAGGTGGTGCTAAAGTCTGAAATCTGAATCAATCAGACTGTTTGTTTTTTGTGTCTGAAATCTGAAGTTTGAAGATGAGAGATCGAAAGTTGATATGGATCAACAGTTGACAGGGTTGAGAGATGAGAGATCAAGACAGGAGAGTTGATCCAGAGAAATCGAGCGCAAAGAGATCAGAATAGGTAGGCGACCATTTGAAATAAGAGGTTTCTCAACCACTTAAATTTTCAGACCTAATAAGAGCTTAAAAAGCTCTTAAATGAAAAAAAAAAACAAACACACTGAATCCTCTTATGTCTGACCGATTCAGACTTAAGAGGACATTAAGAGCGTTTTTATTAAAAATAAACAGCCCCTAAGTGTTTTTTGGCAACCTTCACTTGTGAAGATTGCGTAAGAGCTCGTTTTACTTAAGTTATATTTTAACTCAAATATGCAAGGGTATAACGAAATTAAATCAAGACTGATCTCACTTTTTCGGTTCAATTTTTGTAGAAACAGTCCCCTTTTAAAACTTAGAAAATTGTAACCACTTCCATATCGAATGCAAGAATAATTACCCATTACATGAAAATGATTGCTGGAGTAATTAATGGAGAATTAGTTGCACAACAAACAACAGTTACATATAAGGGTGCTCAAAAACCCGACCAACCCGATCAACTCAACGCGAAATAACTCAACCAGAAGTAACCCGATGTCTAATCGAGTTGTAAAATTTTCAAACTGTAGGTATTGAGTTGATATTAGGTTACTATTATTTGAACCCAACCCGATGAACCCGATATCCTTTCATTTCTTGGATTTATTATGATTGTTGAGTTTAAACTGATATGTATAGTAGACAATTACACTATCACGTACGCTCTTTATATATGCATATTTTCAATTTATTCTTCATCTCTATATAACTCATTCGTATATATGCTTAGTAACAGTGAACATATATATGTAAATTGAGAAAATTAATTGAATGTGATATACGTAAGAAGTATGGATACTTTGTATCAAATGGTTGATGATTAAAAAGAAATTATGAGTAGAGAAATAACATATTCAAGGTTAGAAACACCCCATGTTTAAATGTCTTGAGTTGAGTTATTCAAATGTCTTCAACCCGATTAACCCAACCCAAAAACACCCCATGTTTACTCGTTATTTAGTCCTTTCAATCCATAATTAATAGAAATCGTACCTAACTCCTTTTGTTTTCTTATAAATGTTTTTTCAATAAATGGTTGAAAATGAATGGTGTGGATGCAAATGAACACGTTCTAAGACATTAAATTGACATATATCCAAAAGGAAAGAGAGGTGTCATTTACAAACCACTTAAATCTGACAAATTTTGTAAACCCATCTTAACCACTAATCAGTTAGATTTACGACCTAACTGAAACACTGATATTTTTATAAACTTATACTGACTGTGTTTTCATTTTTGTAAGAGACTGAGGGCATGGAGGGTAGTTTGGCGATACAAAGTTATGATTCAATAGATGTAATAGAAGCAACTGAGATTAACCGCAATTAAAATCCCGAATTTATCTCGCCGCTGAATAAATCCTATTCGATAGAAACAGTTATGGATTCACGGTAATCTCTGAGAAGAAAACAGGAATTCTCGAGAGAGAATCATGAATGTAGGAAATCAAGGTATGATTCATGGGATTCTGTTACCTTCTTAGTTGCATTTACACAATTTACATCAGGGTATTCACTGATGCAGTTCTGGAACGGAGTGAGTGAATATGGTTCTGGATACATTCTCTAAATTCAAAAATACAACGGATTCACCGATTGTGTTGGACGATGATGATGGTAGCGACAGTGTAATACGAAGAAGTGACACGATGACAACAAATACCAGTTTAAGATGCACAAACAAAGAAGGTATATCAGAATTCAAAGGTTAGTAATGTCGAACCGGAAACGTAGGATTTTCCCCTGTTTTCAACAATGTTCGGTTTCTTGCCGAAAAATCTCCAACTATCATTCAGCAATTTTTTCAAAACAAATATTTTGAGGATTTTTACGTCAACAGGTTTTCCAAAACCTTCCTTTAAAATGGAGAAAGTAAGAAAAAGAAGGTAAACCATAAGGGTGGTGCTTGATTGGTTTGAGCTTGACTCTAAAGGTCAAAAGTACCTGGAGGTGTCAGGTTCAAATCCAAGGAGGAATAAAAACCCCTTTGTGGCCACGGAGCTTCAAATGCGGTAACTCCGGGCTATCTGCAAAGCAGGTGGTCTCCCTGGGATTAGTCGGCTCGCATAGCGGGTTAGATATCCAGGTTAATCAAAAAAAGAAGAAGGTGAAATTCAACAAATTTGAAGAACTCTCCTAAAATGATTAACTATGAAAAAGAAATTACTTTTTTTTATATTTCCTACCACTGAGAATATTTGAAATCAAATATATAACAGAAAGAAATAATATTTTATGAAATGTATTGAATATTTTAATAATATAATTCATATTGTAATCTTCAAAATAAAAATAAATGCTGTTGGAAACAAATAGATTTTTCTTTGAAGATTTGGAAACAAATAGAATTT